ACAAGCATTGACTTCTCTCATAAGTGGTATAAACTCTATATGTAAACAACAGGTGTTCTTTCGGGGATTCAAAGGTAGAATTAATAAACTGACTCTCACTTGGTGTAAATGTTCGTGTCTTTGTTTTAACTTTGATGAAATACACTTTGTTAATGAATGAAGAAGAAAGCTTGATAAAAAAGTGCACATTTTGTTCCGAAGATTACTCAAAATAAACGATAATTCAAAAAATATATTGTTGTGAAAAAATGGTGAAAAAATTCTGCTGAAAAAAGTATATCTTGCAATATATATATACATACAAAATGTATTGTATTGTGCCCTCCAGGCTATCACCATAGTAAAATTGTGACTCCTGCACTTGGGACACAGGATATAATATATATATATATATATATATTATGGATAATATTCCTGGATAAAAGAGATTTCAATATTCTATATATTAGAAGAGCGTAAGATAAAATGAAACTCGGCGTGAAACTCCGAGTAGTGACAGCAAACACTTGTCCATTTTATTTTAGTTCATTTTATATATATATATATATATATATTTGAAAATTGGTAACCCAGGCATATTATGAATCCAGAGAATCCTTTAAATCCAGTGAATACTTATCATTATTATATATATACATATATGATAATGATAAGTATTCACTGGATTTATTTTGAAATTTTTATTAAGCTTTCAACTCGGTGCTTCGAGCCTTCGTCAGAATGTAAGAATAAATTATTTACAAAGATTTAAAAATTAAAAAAAAACTAAAAAAGATTAATAAAAATTTAAAGCTTAATAAAAATTCCAAAGTCGGGTACTATTTGCGAATTTTTTACGACGCCATGTTGATACTTGTGACGTAGATAGTTGAACACGTCTATTTCCGTCAATATAATATTATATTATAGGAGGTGATTTGTTGTCGTTTTTCTTGTCTTAAAAACAAATAATGACAGTATTTTCAATAAAATATTAAAAAACAAGTTTTCCGGAAACAATGGCCTCTGGAAGTATAAAAATGTGATTCCGACATAGACAGCCCTCCTTAGAGCCTTTTTAATGAGCAGTCTGGTTTTAAGGCGCCAGATTCTCGCCCTCACACCTCAGTTGAAAAGACGAATTTGGTTAGAAATGGGAGACCATCTGGGACATTTTTTAAAGAATGAAAATGCTCAATTCTCATCTTATCCCGGTCTTTTTCCAACCCTATAAAACCATTTCACAATTTTTCCAGAAAAGTTTAACCTTTATCGAGCACATTTTTTAAGCGCAGTTTATTTGGTTTAGTGATTATTGCTGATCTGCTTCAGAGCAGACAAAATGGTTGTATCAAGTGCAATAACTAATTATCAAAAACATACATTTTCAAAGATTTGTTATTGGTTTGCTTAAAGCGGCATTAGAGAGTGAAAAATGAGCCATGCAGACTCATTTGTATGAAATATTTAGTCTGTGAGGTTTTTTAATAAACTTATCCAGGATGGCTGGATGTAATTGCTTTTGATCGTCTTTTGCTTTTAAAATATCTTTATGAATTGAAATTCTGCATAATGAGCAAAAGCGTTCATCCCCCATTGAATTCCTTAAAAAAGTTTTCACCCTATTTAAACATGAAAACGATCTTTCAGCTGAAGCACTAGAAATGGCAATAACAGCGTTAAGTTTCAATAATTTAACAAATTCGGGTATACACTGGTGAATACCAATGTGATAAATGTATTTCAATAATTCCATGGAGTTATCTTTTAAAAAATCTTTATCTTGGTACACAAAAAAAAGTTGACTTCGAAGCCTAGGTATATTAAAGAGAGGACCATATTTTGCTGATAGTTGTTGAATTTTTTCATTAGGAATAGCTGTTTTCCACTGCACAAAAAGTTTAGGATTGACTAAGTCAAGAAATGAAAAGCTCTCTGCATCCGTGAATCTTTCCTTAAGCATATTTGTTACACAATCAATGACTTCGTAATAGAGCTGTTTAAAATTTATATTTATCTCAGATTTTCGAGATGGAGGACCAGTTTTACTTTCATTTGCAGAATAACAAATTTCAAAAGCTGTTTCATTGCGGAGGGAAATTAGAAAATTACCAAATTCTTCAATTTTTCTCATGCCAAATGCATAATCAGTAGACCTATTTTGTAGAATATCATATAAAATGGCTGATCTCTCCAAGATTTGGTAGTAAAGTAGTAAAAGGAAACAAAAAAGAAATGATTCAAGGTAGTGGAGGAGGCCATCAGTACGTGTACTTGTTTCATCAGTCCATTTCCAAGGATTTTCATTTATCTCTGTAAAGGCTTTCACTAGTGTATCATAATTATTAAAAATAGCAGACACAGCTCGAGATTTGAAATACCACCTAGTTTCCCCTGGAGCAGGTATATCAACCCCATGAGATTTCAAATGGGATTTTCTTTCAGGACTGGAATTTGTAAAGGTGGAAAATGCAGAAACATTAGCAAAAAATATTTTCACCTCCTTAATTTTCAAAGCAGATTGACATAAAACCAAATTAAGCCTATGTGCTGCACAATGAAAAATAAGCATAGGGTACACCTGTCTTAAAATTGCCTGTAAACCATTTAGATGACCACTCATCACAGATGCCCCATCATAAGTCTGCATCACTAATTTAGGTATTACAGCCTCTCCATATCTCTCTAAGATGCCTTTAACTATATCACTAATACCTTGTGCACTTCGGTCGGTACTAACATTTCTAAATTTTAAAAATCTTTCCACAATTTCACTCCCTTTATCTAGTCGAATAATGACACTGAGTTGTGCTTTTGCTGTAACATCAGTTGTTTCATCAACTTGAATGCTAAAAAACTGACACTCTTTCATTTCATCATCAATCTCATCCTGAATGACTGAGTCAATACACTCAATTAAATCATTTTGGACATCAGCTGAAACCCCAGTAAAAACTCCACCTTCATCCACTCTCTCTGTACCTTGCAGTCTACCTTGCAAATGACGGTCAAAAACAGAATCCAATTTTCCAAAGCATTTTAGTAATTATCTATAATTACCCTGGTTAAGACTAGCCCTGCTCTCATCATGTCCTCTAAATGCTAATTCCTGTTTGGCAAGATATAAAACTGCCTCCCCAATATTTTTTAGCATCTCTCTGTTTTGCCTTACCTCCTCATTGTGCCTCTCTACTGCTTCTCGCCGAGCTCTCGAAAACAAAACATCAACACTCTCCCTCGAATCAAATAACCTCCACTCTTTGTATGCCTCCATGTGAGATTTTGTTTTCTCGTGTTTTATGCTGTCACCACTAAAACTATGCATGTTATGATAGCCTGTTGAAGCCCATGGAGACTTTCTAGGGGAAGAATGAAACAAAAGACATGGCCAGCAAAACAATCTATTCTTCCTCACACTACCACACAGCCAGTCCTTGTTCGAATACCAACTTTCTTGAAAGCTCCTATCATTCGTCTTTAGTGTAAGCTTCGGTATCGGCCTTGACATGCGAGCTATTTGTTTCTGCTCACTAATATTTCGTGAGGAAAACGATCTCTCTACCAGCTCTGCTACTATATCCTGACCATCAAAGGGGGAAAAGGAAATCGTCGATTGATTTTGCTCAACTCCTTCCATGACCGAAATAAACAATCGAAGTAATTATATGATCGTATAATAGCGTATCGTCAACACAATCAAACTCCTGCGATGAGTTCATGGCATGACTTCCGCATGACGTTTGGCGGAAGTATGCAAGAACTTAGCCTAATTTGGCCAATCAAAGAAGCGTATTTTCGAAGGAAGTCATGCTCTCAAGTGGAAAGCAGGAGTTTCAAACGTCATCAATAAGCAACGTATCCAGCGCTCAGGTGGCTAAGGTTTTCCCTAATTGCGGGCTTTTTTGCGTAACACAACGCGTAGTCCAAAAACTCAAGCGCATTTCTTCCATGCACTTTATTGTAAAAGCCTGCAAACCAAAAGCTACGTCTTACAGACAAATCAAAGAATTAATTATCGAAAAAAATCAAAATTGCCGAAAAAGTAAGTCATGCTCACCATGACAAGCATGACCTCTAGCTACGCCACTGCTATTGAGAGGTAGGAATGGACGGCTTATCGCCGCCAAGCATCACAATCATTAAATATGTAAGATTGTAAATTTATGAGAAACAATGTTATCATCAACATTGTTTCATCAAAAATAATTACTCCAACCTTTTTATTTACTTCAGGTACTTGAGAGCTGTGGCATACAGATGGTTGATGCGATGGTTTTGTGGGTCTATGGGATGGGAGAATACTCAGCCTTTACCTACTTGTGTTTACCACATAAAGTTCTTTTCAACACATTTACCACAATTTTGCTCTACAATGGCCATCGAACCAATGTTTTTAATGTGTACTTTTGGATTTTCAGCCTTGCTGTTAAAGCAAAATTTTTCAAATAACTCAACCAATGAGTTGTAAAATACCATGAACATAGGTTGCTCATGCGAGTTTGCTCCTCCATCAATTCTGTAACACGATTAAGAAAATTCATTATTATGAAATACAACAGAGATCTAATTCTTTATAAGATAAAATACCTGACTGTATTACTTGTGGTATCTTCATCTAAATCTTCACTCTGACTAGACTCTTCAAAAGAGGAGTAGTCCATGTATGATTCTCCTTCGATTAGCTCTTCAGCACTCCCCTGCATTCCATCGTCTAAATTAATGCTGGTCACCACGGATGTATTACGATTTTCCCTGATTTCGCTTCGATATTTATTTTGCAACTTCTGGGCCTTTTTCTTCAAAGATGCTTTTTTCTTTTTATACCAGCTTAAAGTCTTTTGTAAAGATGTAAGTTTTTTCTTAAGACGATGGCACGATTTACATGGAGACTGGGATTCCAAATATCTTCACCAAATGCATGTAGTTCTTTTCAAAGTTCGTTTGCTTCCCCAGTGCATACTTCAACATGCTCAGCTCCATCACTAGTAGATGGTACTTCGATAGAACATGTTTCCTTCAGCGATGGCTTATGGAGAGTATGTCGAATAATCTACAAAACTTATATCGAATTTACATATGACAAAAAAAAAATTAACATAAACAAGCGTAAACTTACTTGTCTTCGCTTTCGATCGGTTATTTCGTCCTGTAATGGTTCAGGAATTCAGCAACGTCAATGGTTGGAATAGCATCTTTCTTCAACCTTCTTTTGAGCTTGAGTTGCACGCTCAAATTAAGGTCGAAACAAGAATCTTCAAAATGCGCAGAACACAGACACGAGGTAGAGGAAGCCTCAAAACCCAGTCTATAATTACGCACAACATTTACCCATTTTCTATGTCTTTGCGGCTCTGTTTCTTTTTTAAGAAACCGGTGCATCGACATTCCTTCGGTTTTTGAATCATTGGCGCAACTAATTTGATTAGGTCCGCCAGAAACACAGCTTTTTCCTCCGCGTTTCTTATTAAGAAGACTAGTAGAATACGCCATGTTGATATATGTGTTCAACTTTCTACGTCACAAGTCATTAGCATACCGTTCAAAAAGTTCGCAAAAAAATGCTGAAAATCATGAATTTTAACGTCCGTAAAATCACCTTCACCAATCCAATTTCAATTATAATTGTAGATTTAAAATCACTGAAACAAGGTCTTTCAACTAAGCTCATAAAAAAAGGGGGGGGGGTCAAAATTCGTAATATAAGCACTTTAATGGGTATTGTTATGAAATATCAGTTTTCGTGGTTGCTGATTTGTACATTTAAATATACATTACCCGCAGAAAGACAGTACAAATATATATACAGCATACAAGCATAGCTAAGGGGCTGTTCATATGAGCCCAGCTAACCGGAATTCAGTGAGGCGTTAGATGATTTTGGCAAATGGAAACGATCCTATACTTATCATTAGATAAATCTTCTCGAGCAATTTCACAATATTCTGATTTAATGACAGCGCAAAACATTTAAAATTGAAACTGCCAGTTTGGCCTAATTTGAGAATTTCAACAGAAATGACTTGTGGCGCTTAGCAAACAGTTGTAAATTTTACGCTTAAAGTTTTGCCCCCTTTCAATGCATCAAAATCATTTAATGCATCACTAAATCCCAGTTAGCCGGGCTCATATGAACAGCCCCTAATAGCGACAAAAACAACAACGAGACCGTACTTTAGTCAAACATTGCAACTTGACCCATTAACTGAAAAAACAGTTTTTCAATTGAAACATAGACTGATAAGAATACATCAATTTAATCGTTATGCCTGCTTTTGTATTTTTGCGTATTTGTATATGTGTATTTGGCATTGTTGGAAATACTCTTGTGATCGCTTTGATATTAAAACGAAAAATTCTGTTTATAAAGAAGAACTACTACATTCTTGTCTTGCATCTCGCAATATGTGACGCACTGGCACTGCTAAGTATATTTTTCATTCAAATGAAAAGCATCCCAATTTCTTTAAACTGTTCTATATAGCTGGCATACATACTGTATTTAAAGTAAGTGGAGTTTCTTTGATGCTATTCATTTCAGTCCTACGTTATCGTGCGATAGTTCATCCGTTGAAACTTTCCTTCAGTCAACGAAAGATAAAAATCATTTGTTGTTCAGCGTACATAATTGGTTTGGTTACGACAGTTGGAATGACTATTCAACACTGCTTGTAAAATTTAAACGCACCTATATATTTGAAAAACATATAGATTCCAAATTTTTAAACAATGGATTGTAAACTCGAGTTTTTACCCCCCTTTGAAACACAGGTTCAAAACAGGTTCTTTTTTTCGCTGGTACCCCCATGGCATATACTACTTGAAAACATTTTTTGTTTGTGCACTAACGGTTCTTTGTTTTTCAGTTGGTCATATTTATTATATGACAGTTCGGTTGCAGTGGTACTATAAAGCAGAAACTAATTTGATATATTCATTTGTTGGTTATTGTCTTAAACTTCTGGGGTCGCACGCTGTCAATCCATTAATCTATGGAATATTTGACAGACAAGTGCTGTCTTTTTGGAAGTGCTGTACAAGAAGATTTAAGCAAATGCAGATAACAAAACGTTTTTAATCACTTGCATGTTTCCTGTTCTAATCTAGTAGTGGAGATGTTTAATAATTTAATGTCTTGAAACAAGAATTATACCTTTTACAAATTTAATAATAGAATTAAGAAGAAGGAAGACCTCTGAAGCTTTCTTTCAAAATTTAATTGCTTTGAATAACACAACGCGGAAACCTACCAAAATAACTCAAAGTTATCTGCAAAATAACTTAAGCAATATGTACGTGCACACTAGAACCTAAATAAGTAATGACACTCGTCATTATTTTTCTAGAAAATAATAAAAGTTTTCTTCATTATGATACTATTTTTCAATTTTTTCTTTTGTGGAATGTTGGAAAAGTGTTGATGCATGCTCTTTTAAAGATTCTAGAGAGAAATGTAAAGACAGAAAGATATAAGTAAATTATTAATAAATAGAACCTAAAATGGCTTCGCATTCAGAAAAAAAGCAAATTAAAATAAATTAGTGTCCATTTCCACTTTTAACAACAATACTTGTCTCCTATAAAATGACCACTGTTTGAAATATCTTGTATAAAATATAAAAGAGGTTAACAATAATGTCGAAAAAAAGATAAACATGAAGGTACACGTAAAGATAGAAAAAAGGTAGTTATGAGTGTGATAGAAACAAGTTAGAATATTTACAGTCAGAAAATTGTGTTAAAATGTTTAATTTGTTTGTTAAGATCGGTTTTTGTTTGCATATGTGTAAGGCTCCATTAAGTTTTAGAGAAATTGAGTGTTGACGGTGTCTAGGATAGTAAGCATGAGCGAGTGTATTTGGAGTGTTTAAAACATTAAGTTAGAACGAATGAGAAAGAACAGATGCGTAAACTTGTACTGCTATAATTTAAAACAATTTACTTGAACAACTTCGGAACTAATAAACAGTTTTTCATGGCATTTGGAAAGTGAAATATAGAAAAAATGAAAAAGCTAAAAATTCCCGTAGGAAAGTCATTTTTCGTTTCCGTCAGTTTATTCTTGTTTCCATGACCTTAAATATTGAGAAGCATTTGATTATTGAGGTTATTGATACTTTATGGAATTTAATGTAATGATTTTGCCTAAAACAGTAAAAATTTATTGTTCAATATGGCTTTTTGTCGAATAAAATGCGGTAAATTTGGTTACTTTTGAATGCGCTTTGTCTTAGGGAACGTTCCTATTCACATTTGCAGCTGTGATGAGACGTTACGTGCGTTTGCTTTTATTTAACTGTAATATTATTTTAAAATTAAATCTTATAAAAAGCATTAAGTTTTGTTGATGATTGGTTATTTAATTACACATTATAAACTTTCATGAATTCTAATTGGTCAGTATAGCCATTAAAGAATGCAGAACAAGTTATATAACACATTTGTTGAGTATTTCACTTACTGAGCAACGAAAAACCAAATGCTTTTTGGTATTTGCAAAGTGAAATACAGAAATATACAGACCATTCCAAAACTTATAGTAATTCAATCACATCCGTCATATTTTTATCATGGAAATTTTCTTTATGATGAGAATTGCAATTTGCATATTTGGTATTTTTGGAAATAATCTTGTGATCGTTACAATATTAAAGCAAAAGATTCTGTTGAAGAAGAACTACTATTTTCTTGTCTTGCATCTCGCGATATGTGACGCATTTATACTATTGCGTATATTTCTCTTTAAGATCTTTGAACACCATTCGAAAAGCAATCCAATTATGTTAAACTGCTAATATATAAGTAGCATAGATACTTTTTTTCAAATAAGTGGAGTATCTATGATGTTAATCATTTCAGTTCTACGATATCATTAAATAGTTCATCCGTTAAAACTTTCATTCAATCGACAAAACATAAAAACGTTTGTGGTTTAGCGTACATCATTGTTTTGATTACGACAGTTGGAATGACATTTCAAGAGTGCATTGTGGATCCTCAAGCTCATTATTTTATTTACGAATTGTTTGCGTTTTATTCATGTTTCTAAATGTTCCTAATAACCTTTATGACTGTGACTTACTCCATAATCACTCAAGCATTGATTAAACAAAGAAAAGCACTACGAACACTCTCCAATCCGACACATTCTCATCTACAATCCTCTACCAGCTCAAGTCTTCAAAGATATACTCGGCATAGTAAGACATTTATTGTTTGTGTCTGCCCAGTTGTCTGCTTCACAGTGGGTCACGCTTGTTTTTTGGTTGTAGACATGCTCTATATAAACAACACTGTTCCATCAAATTCTTCCACTAATCTTTACGTTGTTTTTGTTCTCCGCCTTTTTGGCTCACACGCGTTAAATACTCTGATCTATGGAATATCAAATAGAAAAATGATGTTTTTATGGAATTGCTGCCCAAAATTAAGACCAATCTAAGTTGTTTTCAGTATCAAAAAGCAGAGATTTTTAAAATAGAGGCACCTTTATGTATTTCGAACATTATAAAGTAGCTAGAAAATAATTTAGTTCTGAATTGCTTTAAGAGCGTTTATATGATTCTAAGAAATTCATTTTTGTTTATTTCCAACATTACATAATTTCATAATAGTATTGTAAATCAGGTCGACATGTTTTCCATCTCTTTATTTACTTTACAAATAAAACAAATAAATGTGTTCGACATGATGATCTCAAAATTAATTTTGCAGAGTTCTTTCTGTGAACAAAATATTTAAAAGTGATCAGTTTCCTGTCAAATTTGTCGTAGATAGAGACATTTATTCAATGTACAACAGCATTTTACAAAACAATTCAGCGTCTTTGTAAACTTCGCATATTTTGCTTTATATGAACAAATAAATACTAAAATGAGATAAAAGCATTTTGACTGCATACACCCAGTGGCGTTTTACAAAGCAGTAAGCTAAATAGACTGAAGCCTACAGGCCCGCCTTTTCAAGACGCCCGTTGTATATAGACATATTTTACCTTTAGCCTTTTTGTTCTAAATTCGACCATATATGCTTCTAGAAACTTTACGATCGACTGCTTTAATGCTTAATGCACAAAACTCATAAAGTGCAGGGGATTTACTCAAGTTAAACTTTAATTTTGTTTCTTAATGTTTGCACTATATGAGTTACAAACAGAAGCCAGGAAATGAAAAAGCAATGGAACGTTAAAAACGCAAACGACATTAAAACACTGAACTTACTTGGAGGAACAAATATCACTTAAAAATCCACAGCTTTATCGCAGCCTACAGGCCCCGTAATTAGTTATCTGCCACTGTATATAGGCATTGCAATAACGGAGAAAACATACAAATCATAACGTCTTTA